ATCACTACAGGAAAAGGTCATTTAATCACCGGATATCCCGTGTTTAAAAGCATGTTTCCCGTGATTAATAAATTTGGTCACGGGAAATTTACCGTAATATAAACCTCTGTAACTAATTGTATACCGTGACTAATTATAGTACCGTGACTAGTTAACTAGTCACGGTAAAGTTTCCTATGATTATTAGTACTTATTAATCACGGGATTAACCATATCTAATATCAAATTTTGTAGCACATATGCAAGATAGAAAATATTTTAAGACGGGATATACTGCTTTGAAGACAGTATTAACCATGACAAAATCATTTCCCTTAACTAGATGTCCATCACTTGTCACGGTATTTGACTGGTTCTCCCGTGATTACATATGTACAAACCACTAGTCACCGCATATTTTGGTAGCTAGTTACAAACGGCTATTCACGTATCTATAACTAAATATAGTAACACACAATTAGAAAGTTCAACTCTTGCAGCATGACATTCTAATATTATTGTCAACCCAACTTGTTCAAACGCCATTTATTGATCAATGCTAATTTACATAATTGTAAAGGCTAATTATTGTAGCATGAAACTTTGCGATAATGAAAATCAATCTAACCATATCTAAAGTTCTATGCATCTTAGGTCTAGGCTTCTACAAGATATTCCTCAATGGCTGCAATATTCATCAGCTCCGAAATCTTCTAGTCTTTCTCGTCCTGCCCAAACATAGTAAAAAAATCATTTTACTAGAGTAAGGATTTTCAATGTTCACTAAATTAATACTAGTAATCTAATGAGTACATCATAACAGACAAGTAAAAACAGTCATATGACTAGTAAGTAGTAAGCCAACTAAATTAAGGAGTTAGACTGATAAATCCAATACCTTGCAATGAGGCGGAGAAATCAAGTGAAATCATTATCTCACAATTAACATTTGAGTTTCCCATTTTTACCAACCCAGTTATGAAACTTCCCTAGTCCGATTTATGACATTCCCTCTCAAACAGTTATCGATTCCATTATCAACATTCTGGTGAAGCAGTAGAAGCTTCAACATTATTTCCATTTCCAAGAGACATCAGGTAAACTGCAGCAAACATCAATTTCAAACTGCCTTTCTGAGCCAGATTCAGATTCATAAGCATCTCTAGTGATAAGGTGAACCAATGATATTTGAAGGATTGATTTAAGTACGAAATTTGATGTTCATTTTTTCCACATGATATTTGTCACTATTCAAGTCAAAAGAAAGTTAGAAAGTAAACTTCTAAAGACTAACATAGACAAAATGGAGACCTTGCAAAAACTGAGAGAGAATGCCAAAAGTATCATCATTGTAAACAGGCAAACCAATAAAAGAATATGCCAAAGGTGCAACACAAATCTTACGGCTTTATTTCAACAAATTTCTAGTAGTCCAAAGCCAATTGTTGTCGTCACAATCTATATAATGTCACCCTGGCTCACTGCAGGAGATAGCAATAGACTAGCTAATAAGAAGCAACGGTAGTTAAGTAGCAAGAGAGAGACCATTCAAGCAAACTCTTATTTCCAAAGCATCTAGTAAAGAGAAACTAAAACCGAGTACAGAGAGCTATCTCCAAAGCATCTAGTAAAGAGAAACTAAAACCGAGTACAGAGAGCTATCTCCAAAGCATCTGTAAAGAGAAACTAAAACCGAGTACAGAGAGCTCATTGCTGAGTTTCTTTCTGCATTGCTAGTGCATTTAAGAATACAGTTAAACTTGATCCTTCAATCTATGTACCTTATCTGCTCATCCACTTCCAAATTCTGCTTCCTCTTTTTTCAGTCACATGTTTGTGGAGCTTACAAGCTACTTCACCTTATCTGCCAACAATCAAACACAGAATCAGCTATTGACATGTGCAATGCAAAAGCATAGATAGAATAGAAGTAGAGGGTTGTGGCATCTAGGGCCAGTGATGTCAGCACCGGAATCTGCAGTAGAGACAATAAATGGAAATGGACCATATCCATCCAAACAAAGCTAACATAATAAAATAACCACACCAACCATATCTGAAGCAACGAACACGAAAGACTGTATATTAGCTGCCAATTTTAAGACTTGAGCTACACTTAGCTCTTCCCCACTAGAACAACCACAACAAGAATGCAGCAACGCCAACTATCGATTACACACCTTTCTCAACTCTCTATGTCTAGATGCATAGACACAATAAAAGCAAGAGGAAAACCAATTAAGGATACACCAACTACTCCATCTGGTAAAGAATATCCAAAAGTAATATCCTCTTTTAAATATAAATCGCCCAGTTCACCACCCTTCCAAACACATATCATTGCAACGGAGCTTTATACCTTTGACTTACAGCAATAGGATTCCTAATTAAGCCAACTATGAACTTTGCTTTTAGAAGCTGTTATGAGCAATTATACAAATAGCGATATTTCCGAACTAACTAGCCCTACACAAACAAAAGACCCAGCATTTCTAGTTCTTTAAAGTGACAAACTTACCTTGATCAACCACCAAATTGTAGTTTTGGCACTTGAAACCTATAAGATCGACTAACATTCAATACGTCTTCTATAAGGAAACAAAAAGAACACAGTTAGAACTTGATTCTTAACATCATTTTTATCTCATTAACGCACATCTAAGATAGCTTTCCGGAAGTATAAAGTGACAATATCTAGACCCCACCTTCCATTATCTACACAAGCTCGAAAAATTACTTGATGTCTAAAAACTGCACACAAGAAAATAGACAACTAAACCCTTTTCCTTAGAGTATATAATGCATCTATCACATAACCATATGGTGTCATAACTTTCTAGCACAAGAGAGTAGGTTGGGTTTTGTAAACATCACCCCCTTCGATTCCATCACAATTACACAAAGGCATTAACTGACCAATATATCTTAGTAAGCATCATTTAACCCTTTGAGAGCTTCCTGTCATTCGTGAAAATCAAGCCAACACTTCATGTTAAAATGAACTATTTAATCACGAAGTCCAAGTTAATACAAACCAAACACCAATCCATAAACTCAGAATCGCAAACCATCTTAAACCCCCCTAAATTAACTAGTCAGTAACCTAAATCTCTAATTTAACAAGCTTAGTTGATCAATGTAGAATTAGAAGAGAACTGAGAGAGTATCACCTAGATTACTTGCATCAAACCATCTAAAAAGTTATGCATCTCCTCCACTCTGCCATTTTCATCAGAAGTACAGGTACTTTTAGGGGTTGGCTTACTTCCTCTTTCTCCTCTCCACGATAGAGTGGCCTCTCATCCGCCGGCAAGGTACAAAGTCTGCTACCTTCGCATAGTTAAAACCACATAGCCACATCCAGAAAATGAGAAAAAGTGCATTAGATTCCTAACGCAGCCAAAAATGAATAAAAATAAAAAAAAATGCATTAGGTTTTCTTTTGCTCGTCTGTAGTTCTGAACAAGGATATTGTGATAATTTTAATCTCCTCATGCCGAATACAAACCGACACAGTAAAATCATAACCCTAGAGTGCAAATTGGAAATGTACCTTGTCAACTACAAACGATTCCAAACAAAACCCTGATGTGAGAAATTCAATCCCTCTCCAAATCGGACTTCCTTCATTCCAGTTATGCTAAATTACTTTGTAGCTCCAACTGCATGCGATTCAAACAGATGTAGAAAGGATCGATTGTTGGGATCAAATAAAGAGAGAAAGGGAGGAGTTTAAAAGAGGGAAAGGGACAAGATTCGGGTACAAACATACCTTAGCTGCAGGCCTAGAGTACTCTTCGGAGAAGAACTCGGTAAAGAAGTAAGAAGGGAATGACTGGAACGAAGGATTGGCGGGGGAAGAATGAAGAGATTCTGATTTCTGACTACGAAGAGGAGAGATGGGAACGAAGAGAGAGTGAGAGACAGAGAGAGTTCTTTCTTTTTTGATTGGGAACGCAGAGAAAACTAATAGTGGTAAAGCAATAGCGGGATAAACCTAAAATTTTAAGATTTGCCGGAGCCAAAATTTTCAGGTTTGGAGCCAAAATTTTGGGTGGGGAAATTTTTGGAATATGCAGGCGGGAAGAAAGTGGGGGAGGTGTACAACTTTTTGGCAAATCAATTGAGTTTATGAATGTAAACCAATTTCCAATTCCCACTCATGTTATTTATTAGGGAGAACATTTCTTTTAGTTCATCTCAAATTTATTTCATCCATCGAGTGAAAAAAGTCTTTCCTCTATAATTTTTTTTTAAAATTTTTGTCACATTAACCATGGTAAAATTTTTGAACACATTTTCATTTTTTTTACTCATTTCATCTTAGTTCATTTTTAATTTATCTTAATTTTAATTTATAATTTGGAAAGATAAATTGTCACATTAATTAACCATGAGTAATTATTAGTCACATTGTTCACGGTAATTAACCATGACTAACAATTAATCACGGGAAATGCAGACTAAAAAATAGGTAAATTAATTCCCGTGATTAGAACTATACAATCAAATACGGGAACTTTTCCAGTGATTATTAGCATACTTCTTAGTACGGGAAATATTACCGTGAATAAGATCCCGTGACTAGAAAACTGTTTTTCTGTAATGTATCTTTAATATATTAATGGTACAACTTCAAGTTGTACATTAGTAGAAGTGCTCCAAATCTAGTTAGAGAGGAGGAGATTCCAAGGAAAGCGCGGAGAGACAAAACCAAGAGCCGCCTAGCCAGCCAGCGGATCCATCCATCTCTTCGTACCTGTTTCCGTTGAATAAGTCAAATCATTCATTTAAGTTTTAACAATGGGCCGGGCGGATAGCTAGGCACGCTGGTTTGGACGATGAAACCGGGCCTTATTCCCTTTGGTCAATGCTCCCACCCATATAACTCAACTAGGAGACGAAAGCCGCCAGCCTATCCCTCCGAATCTATAACAAGGGGCCTTCGACTTGGAAAACACCAACATTCAGCAGCCAATCAGATCGTTTTGGTCGAAGAAGGAAGATAGTTGCAGAAGAAGATGTGCTACGAGGTGAAGTGCGCGAGTTGCGGGAAGACGAGCTGGGGAGGATGCGGAAGGCACGTCCCGTCAGTTTACCAAAAGGTCCCTGAAGCTCAGCGCTGCCTCTGCAAAGCCTGGCCCGGCGTCGATCCCAACAACCCGCCGGCCGCCGATCAACAGTCCTCCCTCTGCTCTATTATGTGATCGATGACGCGGATGATGATTCCATTTCCTCTGTCTCTGTCTCCCACTTAATTTGCTAGCTGTGTATTTTTTTAATGTATGTATCCGATGGAATCGAATGAATTTGCCCTTCTGTTTTTTCCTCTCTTGCGATTTCAATCACGCAAATTTTTACATGGACTTGCCATTCGGCGACCGTTCAAACTTGGCGGTGGAGGTGTTTCTTATTCTTTGCACTTTGCTTGTATCTCCAATATAATTCCACTGCGCCGCCATCGTCGTTCCACGCCGTTACAACTTACAATGTTCTCGCTCTTGCTACCCGCCTGGATTTCCATTGTTGAATAAGGTTTGCATATGATTCTTCACCGAAGGATAAGGTTGCCCACTTCACTTTGCCGTTGAGCCATTTAATTATGTGGATGTGGATACTTTTACGAAAAAGAGGGTTAACAGTAAAGTTTTAAGGACCTTTTAGTAGTGGGAGCATGTGAATCCAATTGTAGCCTGTAGGTAGAGAATGACCCAACCCATTAACATGTACGAATTGAATCAGGTTCCAAATTAAGGCATGTACTTCAGTTGAGAAGGAAAATATTTGATAGTCACACATTCTTTGCGTCGTTTTTTACAAAACAATTTATTTGATTAAATAGTGACATTGACAAATGTAAATATACAAGTTAGACATTTGTAAATGTATTGTTTTCTAATTTTTTTTAGGGTGCGTTTGGATACAAGGATTTGGATTTGGTATTTGTGATTTGGATTTTCAAATACCAAATCATGTGTTTGGATATTAATTACATTTGGTATTTGGATTTGTGTCAAATTCATGGGGTGATTTCCAAATACATGTCTAGTGTATTTTTTGTCAACTTCAAATACATTTCAACAACTAGTGATTTGAAATACCTCCTAACAAAAGAATGGACCTATTTGTAAAATATGAAAAGTTTAGGTACTATAGTGTGAGGCAAAACATATAAAGGTACCAAAATGTAATTTTACCATCAAAATTTCAGGACCTTTTTGTAAAATTTTAAAAGTTTAGGTACTAAATTGTAAGAAAAAATAATTTCGGGTACCAAACTGTAATTTACCAAAATTTGTAGTAAGTGGCCAGAAAATTAAAAATTGAAATTGAAAATCATAAATACAAAAATACAAACAAATTACAAATGAGTATCCAAACAATGAATTTGAATTACATGTATTTCAAATGCTAATACTTCAAATACATCCATTTCAAATGCTAGTATTTCAAATACCTTACATTTAAAATACACTTATCCAAACGCACCCTTAGAGAGCTAAATTTATTAATTTTTTTTTTTTTTGAAGGAAGAGCTAAATTTATTTTAAGTAAGTCATTTTGGCATTTCGTCCTTGATATAAAACATTTCATTGTGTTGTTACTATCTTAATAAAGTCAACCGAAAAACTAAAAGGAGAGTTAAAATTAGAACACAATAATGCTAGATGAACCATTCACAAATAACTCAAATGAATCATTTAAATTTTTCATTCAAACCAACAAACTTAAGTTAGTCGTACAAAAGCCTCAAGCCCTTATTATTATTATTATTATTATTATTATTATTATTATTATTATTTTGTGGGCCTCAATCCTCATATGATGAAACTCAGTCATCACATCTTAATTAGTAATGGAAATGCGGAGAGGCGAGTATCATATAGGCCCACATCAAATGCAGGTTAGGCAGAATAATATCCGCACTTAGCCATGGGAGAATAATGACTCCTTACATATTATTTGCAAAAATATTTATTTTTAACGATAAAACAAAGAAAAATTGCTTATAAATGAAAATAGAGATAATATGTAGATTAATTGAGCCCAATTGATTGAAAGATGAACTCTTTCACTTATCTAAAGTATCGATGAGTGAAAATATGAGTTAAGATAACTCTATATGAGAAATAAAGATATATATATCTAGAGAGAGAGAAATAGGAGTAAAACAGGACATGGCAGGACGAGAGTGATATATTATCCATGCCTGCTCCACACTACATAAATCAAGTTGGTTAATACCTAACGAGACACGCTCAAATTTACATCACTAATCTTGATTAGTATTTCACATACCAAGTCGTCTTGCTAACTTTTCCTTTTCTCTAGGTTGTAGGGTTTCAAAACTCAAGCCTGCAAAGGGGCTGTCGTCGGCTTCCCTCCAGGACTGGCGGTGACCCGCCTTATACCTTATTTTTCTTTTTGATGCTTTTCGTTCCTTTGATTGTTTCTATTTTGCCTGTTTCCCTTTTCCTTGATGTTTTATTTCCAGTTCAGCTTTCAATCTCTCCAAACAGTGTCTTTTTTTATAAAGATGTCCTCCCTATTTTTTGGTTTGGTTTTTCATATCTAGAGTTATATATACATGGTGGCAAAGGGTGGCTTATTAGGCACCAAAGTTGGCTTATTTTCTCGTCTTTCACGCCTCGCCTACCTATATGCTTCACCCGACATATTTCGGTGATTCGGAGATGCAAGAGTCCTCCCTAGTGAATCAACTCAGATGCGGCTGGAAAATTAGAAGACAAAGGATTGATCCATCGGTTCACCTCCAAGCATTCATCGCTCTGAGGCTTCTTCTCTTGCTGGCTCTTATGACCGACAGATGGCGTTTGATCCAGTGATGTGAAGGTTTAGTGGAGATTAATGGTCCAACGAGGTAAGGCGAGGGGGGAGGAGTGTGACGTATGCATGCTTATTTTGGTTTGATTCATGGATTGTAAAGCATTAGCATCTCAGACTCAGTCTTTGCTTGGTTTGGTGGGATCGGAGTGCCTTTGGTTCCAGCGACGACAAAGGCAGTATGGAGGCTAAGGCTGGGCATGCGGATGGATAATTCACCGGTTGACATCGACCCACCTACAAATAACCTCAACTGCAGTGGATATGATGATTGATGTGGGTAGGTTGTGGATTAACGAATTTCCTACATGCTCTTATCGGTTGGGTAATGGGTGGGTTGCGGGTCACAACATGGAAAATAGTTATTTCTTATATATACTAATGAATAGTCATCTTATTTCTTAACCGCCATTTCACACTAACCGTTGACTTCTATAGGCGGAAAATAGATTATATTTTTGGGCTACTACTATTTATCACTATGTTGTGTAATGTCCATTACACATTGATATGCTAATTATAAATTATTAATCAAGGATCCTAAAACCGTACGGAAGGGTGTATTGGAAAAATCAGCAACATGATATTTTATCTTAAATCCGTGGTTCAACCATTTCCTATCTCTAATAACCACCTATCGATTTAGCCTAGGGCCGGAGGATTTCTCGGACGGACAAGTACGTTTTATAAACGCTGCTATTAATTGTATATAAGTCGCAAAAAAAAAGAACTTTCTTTACATAATTGTTAATGAAGTAATGAAAGATTTTATACGAGTACTAGACATCTCAGTGGATACAAATTGGGAGGAGGTGTCTAAATTGGTGCAGTCTCATTAATTTTTTTTTATGAATTATTATAAATGTTAGTCAGCTTGCCTAATTACAAGTTGAATTTACTAGTTAACCGACGACCCATCTGCTACCCATCCAATCCAATAGGGGTGGGCATCGGTTCGATTCGGTTCAAACCGAACCGAAATGGAGTATACCGGATTTCCGATGTATCCCAGAGGTCAAACCGAGTTCGAACCGAAATATAATTCGGTTCGGTTTGGCCGAACCGAATTATATTCCGGTTCGGTTCGGTCGGAAGACCCCAAACCGAAACATAATTGCCCACCACCAGCGCCTCCTCATTTTCTTTTCTATCCCCCTTTCCTTTAGGGTTTTGGGTCACACTTACAGCCGCCAGGCCCAACACCAATCCTCTCTCTTGCTCTGGCCTCTCCGCTCTCTTCCTCAAACCCTCGATCTCCGACTTCCATCTCCAGTCTCTCCCTCGATCTCCGACTCCCCCCAACTCTTACTCTACAATCATCACATCTCCCTCTCAACTCGATCATCCTCTCCTCTCCCTCTCTCCCAGAATCC